TTAGACAAGGTATATTTTAACAGCATTTATTTTATAAAGATAAGCTCTCAAAGTTGGCATGCAGTGAATCTCTTCTTACAGCTGAAGAGGTTTAGAGAGCAGGTGATGTCCCTGTTTTGTTTTGTTTTAAAACTGAGGACTCTGAACTGAGAGACTGAAGAATATGATTATTTAATTGATAGCAATAGGATACATGCTGAAAATTAAGTTTTGGTGCCATAGGAGTTAACATGATTAACTCCTGATGAAGTGGGTCTTTGCCCACGAAAGCTTATGCTCCAAAACTTCAGTTAGTCTATAAGGTGCCAAAGGACTCCTCGCTGCTTTTGCAGATTCAGACTAACACGGCTACTCCTCTGATGATTAATGTTGAGCATCTGTCCATAAGTAACTACTTTAACACACTGGAAATATTTTAGTAAGTCACCACTATGGTCGTAAAACAAGGCGTTTGTTGTTCTTACACTTGTCCCTTGCAACAATTGGTTTCACTTGACATACTATAACGAATTATGGGCTTTACAGCAATGTATCTGAAGTGTCATGAATTCATTACGACACATTTGCTTAACTAAGATTGATACTGTGTTCTTAACATAGAAGGACACGATAACCTAGATATTCAAGTGATGATTGAGCAGCGGGAACCATTTGAACTGGTTCCTATGCCTTCATGTAGCCTCATTGACTTCTGGGAGATTTTGCATGCCTACCAGTGTCCACCTTAAATGCACTTAATGCAGGATGAAATCCAGAACACAGTTTCCTCTAGAACAAGACAGATATGTAGTTCTGTATCAGACAGTCTATGTAGCTCTGTAGTCTCTAGAACAAGACAAATATCTATCCCCTTTCTGCCGCTATTAAAGTTGTTTTCTTAACATTATGTCTGTTTTATTCTTCTGCATCCATCCTATTCTCAGGATCTTTCTATAACAACTCCTCTTGAACACCAGTATCCTTCTCTTCACATCTTTCATTATCACCCATGTCTCTAATCCGTACAACAAGCTGCATGCTTTAACATTAATGATGCATGGTGGATCAGAGAGGCAGAGAAAAAGGGATGCCCTCTCTCTGGTCCATGAGTTCTTTTGCATTGGCTGACTTAAATCGAGACAGCGATTTTCATATGGCAGGACGTGCTGTCCCCGTCTTCATTTTAAGTAATGGAAAATGGTACTCGCCAAGCAACAAAGAGCAACTTTTATTAGACTTTTCATCCCTGACATATTAGAAGATAGTATCTCAAGGGAGCTCATCTTTACGTCATCATTCTAAAATTTCACAATGAACAAGTGTCTCTTTTGCATGAATGAACTAAGAAATGGAAATAATTGGATAGTATTCATTTAAAATGTTCAGGATTTGGAATAAAAAAAAATCGTCCGGCTTTCTTTCAAAATCATGTGTGTGAACATACTGGAAAGGAAATTGTCTAGCCAAAACATCAGACGATGTTGCAGATTTATGTAGCATATGACTGAAATGAAGCATGTTAGCACATACTCTTCTGTCTTTGTAAAGTACAGGCTACATGCCAGCCTCTAACAAAATAGTGTCTTTGGACAGCCGAGCTGTACTACCATGGCCAAAGTTGTCCTTGTAACATGGCTGGTATAAGCTACTGCAACTTCTTGTTGGAGAAGGTGATCCTGTAATAGCGCAATTAATATGGAAGTATTTTACGTGAGCCTGAGTTTTTATAGGCAGTTAGGACACGTGACTGTAGCTAGAGTGGTTAGTAAAAGTTTCACTCCATATTGCTTTTGTTGGCTGAAAAACTCAGTCTGGGAGCACCCGATTTCTCTAGCCTTGTGAACCAGTCTTTCAATGATTTTGTTTTATTTTACAGTATATTCTGAAAGGGAATGTAAAAATGTACATTTTTAACATAGGAAAATGTTTCATTTTCAGCATTGATTGAGCCTGGAGGAGTATACCTGTTCAGAGGATGTCTAGCAGGTTCTCCTGGAAGCAGGAAGCTATCCACAAGGCTCATGTATCTGGCTGAGTGGCTGAGGTTTTCACACTGTCAGAGCGTGGTATCTATCCTGTGCGCTCTCCGGTTCAACCCATCCTTGACTACTTGTTGCAGCTCAGGAACAACCGTCTGGTGCATTTTTCCATCGGAGTGCCCCTTGCGGCCATCTCTCTGTTCCACCAGCTGATTCAGGGGCAGATGGTGTCCTCTCATGATATGGTGGTCAGATTCCTGACAAGTCTCAAACTGTCCTACCCACAGGTATGAGACCCTCTCCAGTGGTGGGAATTCAACCTGGTCCTCTTCAGGCTCGCTGGCGTGCTTTTTGAGTCACTGGGTTTCTGCTCCCTTTCCCAGTTGCCTTGGAAGGCTGCATTCCTGGTGGCTGTGATGTCAGTGAAATGAGTCTCTGAGCCCAGAGCTTTGACCTCACTGAGCGGGTCTGACACGATGCTCGGCTATGTTTGTAGTCAGTAGGCCATGAACTCCTACTCCTCATTAGCTCCCCTGCAGATATTGTGGAGGGAAAAAATACTGGCATCAGTGCATGTGGCGAGTGCACACACCTAACGTGGAGTGGACATGAGCGAGACATCTTGAAGAACATCCGTTATGGAACAATGAGGAGTCCGGTGGCACCTTGAAGACTAACAAATATATTTGGGCATAGGCTTTCGTTAGAGCCCACTCCATCATTGAGCACAAGGAGGTGATGTGCATAGGAATACTGTGTACAGATGGGGTCTCCTCACCTCAAAAAAGATATGTTGGCCTTGGAAAGGGTTCAGAAAAGGGCAACTAAAATGATTAGGGGTTTGGAACGGGTCCCATATGAGGAGAGGTTAAAGCGACTGGGACTTTTCAGTTTAGAAAAGAGGAAACTGAGGGGGGATATGATAGAGGTCCATAAAATCATGAGTGGTGTGGAGAGGGCTGATAAAGAAAAGTTATTTATTAGTTCCCTAAATAGAAGAACTAGAGGACACCAAATGAAATTAATGGGTAGCAGGTTTAAAACTAATAAAAGAAAGTTCTTCTTCACACAGCGTGTAGTCAACCTGTGGAACTCCTTGCCAGAGGCGGCTGTGAAGGCTAGGACTATAATAGAGTTTAAAGAGAAGCTAGATAATTTCATGGAGGTTAGGTCCATAAAAGGCTATTAGCCAGGGGATAAAACGGTGTCCTTGGCCTCTGTTTGTCAGAGGCTGGAGAGGGATGGCAGGAGACAAATCGCTTGATCATTGTCTTCGGTCCACCCTCTCTGGGGCACCTGGTGCTGGCCACTGTCGGTAGATAGGATACTGGGCTAGATGGACCTTTGGTCTGACCCAGTATGGCCGTTCTTATGTTCTTATGAATGGATCAGTGAACACTTGCAATGAAAAAATTTCTGGTCTCAGGTGCCATGAGCACACGCATACCTGGAGTGGAATACTCTGATAGACAAACCATTTTAGAACACAAAACTTCTGTTCTACTGTGGAAGAACATGAATACCAGACAAGAACACCTCTTCTGGCAGGTGACCAGGATTTTTCCACACAAACTGTTGGAATGTTTAATTACCCTCCCCGCTAGGAAACAATCTTATTTTCAAGTTGAACTTCAGCTTCCAGCCATTGAATCTTATGCCTTCTCAGCAAGGATGAAAGTCCCTGGTATCAGATATTTTTCCATGTGTACAATGCAATGTAGTGATGTTATCTTCTGTCACTCTTCTGTTCGATAAGCAAAATAAGTCAAGCTCCTTAACACGTTTCATAAGAAGGCTTATTTTCCACCTTCTGGATCGTTTTTGTGGCCCTGTTCGTAAACACATCCAGAGGATGTGGTGAAGACTAGGACTTGAACAGGGTTCAAAAAAGAGCTAGACAGAATTGTGGAGATTAGGTCCATCAATGGGGTGAGTAGGAATGGTCTCCCTAGCCTCTGTAAATGGGTCATAGGAGAGGGATCATGTGAGGCTTACTTGTTGTTTCCTCCCTCTGGGACACCTGGAATTGGCCACTGTCAGCAGACAGGATGCTGGGCTGGATGGACCTTTGGTCTGACCCAGTATGGCCGTTCTGATGCTTTTAACTGAAGAGCTGATCATTCTTTTTGGTGTTTACACACCAGAGCTGGTCACAGCATTCCAGTAGTCATGTTGTCAGTGCTATGACTACAAAGGCAAAATTGTGTCCCTACTTTTGCTTGATTTCCCCCTTTTAATACATCTAAAGATCACATTATTGACCTCTTTCCCCCCACCCCCCCGAAGCTATTGCACTGAGAGCGCATGTTGAGGTGATAATTTGCAATAATCCCGTAGTCTGAGTTACTAACTTCCATCCTGAATTCTTTGTTCCCAGCATAAGTCTATATTAAAATACATTGTGTTGGATTTTGACAATTTAAAGAGGAGGTTCAGATTCCTGTGTAATAATAACCTGTCGTCTTTCTTTACCTTTCTACCATGCTTTGTCATCTGCAAGCTTTACCAGCAAAGATTTCACCATAATTTAGATAGTCCATAAGCATGTTAAATAGCTTTGGACCCAGAATTGATCCTTGCTGAAGCTGCTAGAAGTGGCTCATTCATTGATATATTCCATTAATAATCACATATTGAGAATTGTCGAAGACTAGTTGTTAATCCATTTAATTGTGTGTCCTGTTAACTCTGTATAATGCAAATTTTAAAAATCAGAATGTCATATGAGACTTAAGTTAATTGCTTCGGAGAAATTCGGGGAATGTTTAAGAAGTTACAGGCTTTATTGTTTCCCCCATTGCAAGATGTTTTTAAGGACTTTCTTCAGCAAAACACGGACTCTGGTAATATTGCTATATGGAAGTCTTTCGTTACTGTTATAAATATGTAATAATTTCAAGTGACCAATGAAGAAAGCATCCGGCTTGTGTCGTGAATTGATTTTTTTTTTCAAATGTATTTGAGACACATTTATAGTGGAGTCACTACAGTTGTGCTCTCATAACTGTATATTTAACATCATACACTGTCTTTCTTTTTCAGTGGTCTTATTGTTCCTGAGAGAGATGGAAATGAAACCGTTCCAGAAGTTGTAACCACTTCTGGCTATGTCCTGCTTCATTTCTTCAGCGATGCTGCCTATAATTTGACAGGGTTTAACATCACCTACCAGTAAGTAGTACTTCTTCCAAATGTTCTGAGGAAATTTAAATGTTTCATGTTGAAAGAGCAGTGTAAAGACAAATATGCTTCTAGGGTGGATCAGGAGAGATATTTCCAGTAGGGACAAGGACATATTTCCATTATACAAGGCTCTGGCAAGATCTCACCTGGACAGCTATGTAGAATTCCAGTCACCACGCTCAAAGGTGCAGAGAAGGGCTATTAGGTAGGATGAACAGGGTTATGGAGAACCAGTCTTATGAGAGAAGACTAAAATAGCTTAACTTGATTAGCAAAGCAAAGGCTGGGAGGGACTATGATTTTTCTCCCGGCCATGTCTCCACTTAAGTTTTCTGCTGATCAATCTTCTGGGATACAATTGAGCAGGTCTAGAAAAGAGTATTTCTCCTGTCGACCATGTGGAGATGGTGCCATGCTCCGCTTAAGGAACATCGACTCCAGCTATGTTATTTACATAGCTGGAGTTGGGTACCTTAAGCCAACCTTCTGCGTATAGTGTAGACCTGGCCTATAAATTAAGTGGAGGGGTGAGGTGTATCACCAGGGCAAAAAAAACCTATTTAAACTGAAAGACCGTGTTGGCATAAGAATAAATGGGGCTAAACTGGTCAGGAATAAATTTTGGTCTGGAAATTGGAAGGAAAAGGAAATGTAACTGAATTTCTCGCAGGAGTAACGGTCTCTGAATTGTATTTCATTGTACAATAAAACTCCAATTGTCTGGCATCCAGTGGTCTGGCACTCCCGATAATCCAGCACCAACTGGAACCCGGAAGTGCTCCAGCCAGCCGGACAATTGGAGCTGCTCCACGCTGCTTCCCCAAGTCCATTGCTGAAACTGACCAGCAGCGGATTTAGGGAAGGGAAGACAGAGCTGCTGGGGTGCTGCCCGGTTGGTCCTGCAGCACCGCCCTTCACCAGCACCTGGTTCTCCCCATGCTGTGCCGTTTCCTGCCTGACCCCTCCTCCTCCCCCCAACCCGTCACAGCCCCCCTGCCCGAGTACCTCCTGGTACTCCGGCATAGCCGATAATCCAGTACCCTCTGGGTCCCAAAGGTTCCAGATTATCGGAAGTCTGCTGTAGTTGTGTATGGGGATTTGTTGTGCTGTGGGTGTGAATCGATGTTCCTGTGCAGGTGTTTTAGCTCTTGGTAACTTTTAATGTTGGTTAAAGAAATTTCAGTTACAAATTATTGGCCACTGAGCTCTCAGAAATAGTTTAAGCACCCCTTGATGTTAAAAAGCAGATCAACCCGTGAAATGCCTTTGTTGTATGAATTGACTATCTCTGTTGGGTGGTTTGAATAGGAAAAACATCAGAAAGGAGTAGATGGAGTACTGTATACTAGGAGACCTGGTGTAGCTACAGCCAAGCTATCTGGGGTCTTCCCAAGCTTTTCTTTGACTTGGCTAGAGAGCCCGTGGCTTAAACCTGCCGGACAAGATTTTTAAAACTGGGTTCCTAATCCATATTTAATCCATAGTTTAGCATTTAAGTAAGTGGTCTGTTTTTTTAAAAGTTCTTGTGGATTGCAGGAGGAAGCAAGGGTATTCAGCACTTTCAAAAATCATGTCAAAACTTATTCAGCAGCCTTATTTAGACAACTAATTTTGAATATCTTGGTCACTTTGATACCAAAAACCATTCTACCATCTGCTGGCAGCTGCCAGTACTACATTGAGACAATAACAGGAAAAGCATGAGTGAAAAAAGGAGGCCATGATAAAAACATGAGGCCATATCTGCCTGAGATGTGAATCCATCTAACTCTCATACCTCGACTGCGAGAAGAGACTCAATCATAACAATGCAATTAATACGTTTTCTTGTGACTAATTGACCTTGAAGTTGCTATATAAAATGGCATTTTAAAATTTCCCTCAATTCTACCTGCTTTGTCTTTTCAGACATTTTTCTTTTAAAAAATCTTTTGATTTTTGTTTTTTCTGTGTGCTTTGGACGATGACTGCCTTCTAATGTGTCCTTACCAGAAAGGATGCAAGGATTTTCTGTATTTAAATCTGGGTGTATTCTAACCAGCTTGGAGTATTGTTGCTGAAGTTGGAATTCAAAGTCAAGTTTTGAAATTCAGTCTGGTCTTTAATGGAGAGTTAAACCCTTTTGCATTTAGTCTTGGGGAAGTTAGTTTAATGTGGTACAGGGCCATAAGTGCCGACTCTGTGGGAGCTCCAAGGTTCAGCTAGTTTGTAACTCAGTTATAGAAATCACTCTTTACGGTTATTACTTGAACTAGGGATGCAAATACACTTTAAGAAAGTTAACTGGTTAGACAATATAAGTCTAATCATGTAACTGATTAACTGTAGAGAGCAGGAGCAGAGCAGCTGGGGTCTTGCTGTGGGTTGCTCCAGGCAGATGAAGGGGGTTTCTCCAGCCTAATTGGGCTGCTCTAGCATGGCCATGGGGTGTGCTGTGTGCAGGGTGCTGCTCCAACTGGGCCTGACCTCTGGTTACAGGGTAAGCATGCTGGGAAGGCTAATGTGTACTAGGTAACCAGTTAATCTTTTACATCTCTAATTTGAATATTAGCTAAGCCAAACCCATGTGTAGAACCATAACTTCAAATCCTACATCAGCATAGAAATATGGAACTAACAGTTATCCCTTGGGTTAACGTTGCTCAGCAGCTCTTCGTTCAGTAGGAGGCATAACTTGGTAGTCGATTGAACTGCTAACAAACATTGCTTTCCCTGTGTTTACAGTTTTGACATGTGTCCCAATAATTGCTCTGGCCGAGGCGAATGCAAACTCGGTAATGGCAGTAACACTGTTCAATGTGAATGTTCTGAGCACTGGAAAGGAGAGGCGTGTGATATTCCGTATTGCACAGACGATTGTGGATATCCTGAGAGAGGTCAGTGCACCTCGAATGGGACCAAAGGATGCTCGTGCTATTCAAATTGGCAAGGTAAGTGCCTTTATAAACAGGAGAGTTTTTTTGTCGAGAGGGATGCTTTTCCCCTGTGTGACATTGGCTGTTAAATCAGGATTGTTAACTGCAGAGATTATAATGCATGACAGATGTTTTCACTCATCAGCCCTTTGAATCCCACTCTCCTTCCACTTGTACCTTTTACACCTGCATGCACCAGAGCTTTCAGCCTGCTTTCTGATACATTAGCAAGGATCTCTTAAAAATAATCTACCACTGTGCTTGTGCATGTGGATCTTAGGAGACATGCAAGGAAGTACAACTGTATGTGAAAGCAAAATTGAGCCTTCAGGTAGGATTTAACTTGTCTCAAAAATAGATCAGAAGTGTTTGTTTCAAGTTCTGTTCCAGGTACTGCCGCACTAATGTGGTGCTATGCTCCATTTTAATTTAAAAAAAAAGTATTAGTTCATCCCTTGAAACATTCAGTTTCTCATATTAGATTGATTTTTGTATATTGTAAATGTTAAAATTAGTCACATAAAAAAATCCCAAAATACTTTAAAAAGTAAATGTGTATAATAGTGAAATTTAGCCCTGTCTAGGGTTAAGCACCTCAACTGTTTGACAGCACATAGCAACACTGCAAATTAGTTAAGAGAAGGAATTGTGAAATGTATATTTGGTTGAATATTGATGGAGAGGGAAGATTTCTCTTTACTATATCCCTAGCTTTAGGAATCTTAGTGTTTTTGAGGGCTCCCACCCAAGTTTTGGGCTTAGGTTGTGAAATCTGCAATAAAAGTGCAACTCGGTATAGCACAGCTACAAGCTGTGCCCTTCCTTTCCTACCCCAAAGCTTTATTTTACCCATAAATGATCACTTACATGTATGTTTGTAACCCTGTTTCTCCACATATAAACTTATTTCTCATTAAAAGGTCCTGGCTGTGCAATCCCCGTACCAGCTAATCAGTCATTTTGGACTCGTGAGGAACACTCTAGTCCGAAGCTTCCCAGAGCGTCTCACAAAGCTGTTGTCAATGGCCATGTCATGTGGGTTGTTGGAGGCTACAGGTTCAATCATTCTGATTCCCATATGGTTTTAGCGTGAGTAAACCCCAATACCTTGCTATCACTTTGGTTTTTCCAACTACTTGTCAAGAATAAATTTTAGAAAATGTTACCCTGCATCCCAGACCTGCACCTTGCCCTTGAGTTTACTAATGTTTGATGACAGAGCTCTATGCTAGTTTTGAAAAAACCTTGTAGAGTCGTGAGATTCAGTAAGTGTTGACCCCCTCCCCCCCCAGCCTTCCTGCATCCCTGTCTGTTGTTCTCTGTATATTCGTCCATAAGCCCTACAAGTTCTGTCTTGACTCATCTTCAGTGAGGCTGAGTCGACATCCTCTGAGAGGCCATGTGAATTAACTCATTCTAATAAAACCATTTCTGCTATTTAACCTACATGACTTCAGGTTGTGAGTGCTTAATGAAGCTTTGGCCACTGAAATGCAGAGTTGAGCTTAGGAAGCATCTCTCAATGGATAGGGCATCAGACTGGGATTTGTCTCTGCTGGATCTGTTCTTGGCATCAGACCAATTCAAAACTGACTCACTGTATGAGTTGAAATAAGTCCCTTAAACTCCGTGTTCTCATCTGTACAATGAGTACACCCACTGTTCTGAACTGTGTTGTTAATTCATTTATACACTGACCATTAAGTGCACACTAATATTCACCGTGGAAAGTTTTAAAAACCACTTTTGACCCAGACTCTCAGGTATGGGCACAGGGTCAAATTCTGCCCTAAAACACATACATATACAGCCGCTCCCCGACCGTTCGCACTTACGACCAAAGCTCCCCTGGAGCGGTCGTAAAGGTGGTCCTCGAGTTACAAACGCGACCTGCGCTTACGAACAGCGCGGTCGCGTGTAACTCAATGGAATCCGAGTTACGAACAGTTCGAGTTACGGACCAAGTGTTGGTCCGTAACTTGTTCGTAACTCGGAGAGCAGCTGTAGTTTCCATCAGCTGCAGTGCAAGTCATAAATTGAGAATTTGGATTAGTGTTTGGTTCATAAATAGCAGTTTCTCTAAGCCATACTTGAAGGTCATTTGAAAATTCATGTATCATTGCACCATACTGTCTTCTTTTTCGCTAGCTACTTTTTCTAAGTTTTTCTTATTGTTTTCACCCCACTAAACACGTGCTGATAGAGCCTTGATTAAAGATTCACCTTAAAGCTAATTTTTCTTGACATAAATATAAGCATGGCAATTGTAGCTACTTCCCTAGCTGAAAAGCCACTGCATTTTCTTTTGTGGTGGGATCTTTCTCTTGTTGATTTCCTGTGCCAGCTTAAGCTTAGTGAGAGTTTTTATGATTGAATGATGAAAATGTAATTTAAAAAAAATACTATGCTATGAATACTTACGTGTTCCCATAGGAATGTTGGAATTTATCCAGCGTTTTGGTAGAATCTTTTTTTAATACACCTTTGAGCAGATCCTCCGTTGGTATGAATCGGCATAGCTCCGTTGTGAATGTTGTCACTGTTGGTTTTGCAAAGGGAAGAGCAATGCTGCGGCTATTGCGAATAAACAAAAGTTTGTTTGAAGTATGCTGCTTATGCTTGGACTTGTATCCATAAAAGGTTTCATATAATATTTGTAACTGTATTACTATATTTTTGCTGTCCAAACCTGAGGACAGGTAATTTTGTATACAAGTTACACACATTCTCGTTGTACAGGTATGACCTTGTTTCTGAGGAGTGGCTTCCACTGAACAACACTGTGAATTTGGTGCAGATCAGATATGGTCATTCATTGGCGTTACATGAGGTAGATATTTATTCTTGCTCATGAAATCTTGCTTTCTGTTGTTTTAGTTCTGTGTATATAATCTGTTCAGAGGAATGTTGCTTACCTAGCTGAGTGACAAGGGCAACCCAAGGGATAAAACAGAAAAAAACCAAAAAGTTCACCTTAAGGTAGTCCTACCAGACGGTTAAATTTAGTGGCATAATACCAGGTGTTGAAATTTTTTAAATACAAACACATGCAGAGTACAAACGACTAGATGTGTCATTCGTATATTAGCATAATTTCATATTTTCTCCATCCTTGCTTAGATCCTCTCTGCTTAAATAATTTGAGGCTCTTCACTTGCTTAGCAGTCAGAGACTTGTTCAATAACATACTTTCCGTTATTATTTTCTTGGTGTTGGGAGGATAGCATAGGTAATTTTCCTTTTTTCCACCCTCTCTAAATACATTATGCATCAGACAACATGATTACAATAAGAGAGGAGTAGATGGCCAGGTGTTGCCTTAGATTTGCATTGGCATTGATAATTCTGCCATAACACCTTAACAGTTAACAAAAAGAAGTACATTTACCTTAGTGCTTTTCCGGAGTGAGGTTGAGAAGGATTCAAATTCTTTTATTAAGAAGGAAAAATAATTTTTCTTAATTTTGATTTAATGTCAGTGAAATGGTTGGATCTTCTGTAAATGCATGAGAGACATTTTCATTAACTTTCCATTCATATCAGCGAATTATTAGTATAAACCTTCTACACATTGCACAATGTGTGATGGACATTTATAGGGGAAGAATAAACCATAGCATTTGGTTTCTTTTGTATGTGTGGTGTGTGAATGACCATTTTTTTAATTAAAACCAACTGTTTTACAGAACAAAATCTATATGTATGGAGGAAAAATAGATTCAACAGGGAATGTGACCAATCAGCTGTGGGTATTCCATATACACAACGAGTCCTGGGTGCAAGTGACCCCCAAAGCCAAGGAGCAATATGCAGTTGTTGGCCACTCAGCACACATTGTCACTCTGGAAGATGGCAGTATTGTTATGCTTGTCATCTTTGGGCACTGCCCCCTCTATGGGTACGTCAGCAACATGCAGGAATACAACCTTGGTAGGTACAGTCTTTCCACTTGTATTTCAGCATTCAGTTTGCATCCACTCACCAGCTCCATGCAGAATCAGTGTATTGAATTGATTCATGGTCAGGTTCCTCCTTTTTTCTATATTGTATTTTTTTAGAACTTGACTCCAATTTAGTGTACAAACTGCTGGCACATCTGTATAGTGACTAGAAAGGCATGTACCCCTGAAGGCAATCCAAAACATGTGACAGAATTGCAATGAATTATGAAGCAAATCTAACAGATTATGAAACAAATTCAAGTTGGGATGGAAAGCATTCAAAAATAAGT